GCAGAGAAATGTCAGTCTGTTGTAAAAGCAAATAAAATCCCGGAAAGGTTGGGATCCTTTATCACTGTCAGGGGGATGGTCTGTATTTCCTCTCCGGTGATTGCTTGGCACTTTGTTTAAGTTTGCGGTGATGTTTTTATGAGTGTTTGTAAAATTGATGTTGTTGCCAGCAAAGGAGACCGATGAAGGGGTCTGAAAACAGAAAGCTGGCAGGGAAGCCAAGGTACTTTTTTCTGGGGAAATGAACAGGGGACATACCACCCCATGAGGATCTCCAGAATGGGACGGTCAAGGTTGAATTGCTAAGATGCTTGCCAACCTCTGTCGCTGCTCAGCTTGCCATAGAAACAGGGAGGAGGGAGAGCTTGGGAAAGACAATCACCTAAATATGAGCCAGCCGTGTGCTGCACCTGCCAAAAAGGCCAACACAGTGCTGGGCTGCATTAACAGAGGGATAGAATCAAGATCACGTGAAGTATTAATTGTTGTTGTTGTTAATTGCGAAGTCGTGTCCGACCCATCGCGACCCCATGGACAATGTTCCTCCACGTCTTCCTGTCCTCTACCATCTTCTGGAGTCCATTTAAGTTCACACCTACTGCTTCAGTGACTCCATCCAGCCATCTCATTCTCTGTCGTCCCCTTCTTCTATTGCCCTCAATCTTTCCCAGCATTAGGCCCTTTTCCAGTGAGTCCTTCCTTCTCATTAGGTGGCCAAAGTATTTGAGTTTCAACTTCAGGATCTGGCCTTCTAAAGAGCAGTCAGGGTATTAATACCACTTTACAATGCCTTGGTAAGGCTACACTTGGAATACTGCATCCAGTTTTGGTCACCACGATGTAAAAAAGATGTTGAGACCCTAGAAAGAGTACAGAGAAGAGCAACAAAGATGATTAGGGGACTGGAGGCTAAAACATATAAGGAACAGTTGCTGTAATTGGGTATGTCTAGTTTAATGAAGAGAAGGACAAGGGGGGACATGATAGCAGTATTCCAATATCTCAGGGGCTGCCACAAAGAAGAGGGAATTAAGCTATTCTCCAAAGCGCCTGAAGGCAGGACAAGAAGCAATGGATGGAAACTAATCAAGGAGAGAAATAACCTAGAACTAAGGAGAAACTTCCTGACAGTGAGAACAATTAACCAGTGGAACAGCCTGCCTCCAGAAGTGGTAAATGCTCGAACACTGGAAGTTTTTAAGAAGAGACTGGACAGCCATTTGTCCGAAATGGTGTAGGGTTTCCTGCCTGAGCAGGGGGTTGGACTAGATGACCTCCAAGGTCCCTTCCAACTTTACTACTATTACTATTACTAAGAAACATGAGTTTCAGGAAGCCATCCATGGATTGTGAGACCCAAAATCACCCAAAGCAGGTGTATGGCAGAGAAGGGGACCGTCCCCATAACAAACAGAAAGAATATGATTGGGCAACTTGAACACAGGATGGGTGGAGGTTACCAAAAGCTATTGTTACCTAACCAGGTTTTCTCGTGGGAAAACTAGAGTTGATTTTACTTCTTCGGTGCCAGGATGCACATTCAGTAAAAAGTTATCTCTCTCTCTTTTTTTTTTGTAAGATTTTATTATTTTTTTCCATACATGTAATAATAATTTTTCAACCAACATGCTGTCTGAGTTTAAATACGCTAATACATATTAAATTCCTAATCCTTTATTCTTTCCTCTAACCATCAGTAAATAAGTCCCAAGTTTAAGAATATTCTGTTTCTTCTTTTTTTTTTTTCAGTCTCATAGTCAGTCTGTCCATCTCTGCGCATTCCAATATTTTTTTGATTATTTCTTCATCTGGTGGTATTCCTTCATATGGTATTTTTCCATATTGCGCAAATATTATTGTTGCCGCTGTTATGACGTGTAAAATCAAATATAGGTTTTGTTTGTTAATCTTTTCTACCTAATTAAAAAAAAGTTCAGGTTAAAAATCTACATGTTCTCCCAATATCTTTTCTAACCACGTATGTATCTTTTTCCAATAATTTTTTTTTTGCTTTATCACATGTCCACCACATATGATAGTACGTGCCAGAATTGTGTTTACATTTCCAACATCTGACATATTTTTAAACATTTTTGCTAATCTTGCTGGATATAAAATAGAATTAGAAAAATTGCAAAATCTAGGGGAAAGAAATTCTAATTTGACAATGTCAACTTCCTATAAAGAAAATTTATATAAAAGGTTTTATAGATGGTGCTTGCCACCAGCAAAAGTTATCTCTTATGGCACCTCAGGATCGTAGAGTTTATTTAACGTTGAATTCGCCAGCCGGACGGTTGACAGATGCAAGGGGAAAGCATCCCCTTGCCTTGGCGTCCAAATTTTGGGGAAGGGATGAGGATTATGCTTGCAGATGGGGCCCTGGATTTGGAAGAGAGAGAGAGCAGGAATCAAGGAAAAGTAATGCAGTGTGGGATTTGGAAGCAGGCAAGAGATTTGTGATGGTGATGGACAATGTGACATGTCTATGGAGATTCTCAGTGGTCCAGGTCAGTGGTTCTTAACCTGGGCGATATTGCCCCCCAGGGGACAATTTCATTTTCCAAGGGGGCGATGAAACAAAAAGGGGTGATGCGGGGGTGAAGGAAAAAAAAGGGGGCGATATGGGGGCGATGGAGTGAGAAGTTTTGGGGACACTTTTGAGACTTTTTCGTACAGTGAATCGCTGCATATCTGTCGTACAAAAACATCAGATCACTCGCTATTAGTGGATTGAATTACATAAGATAATAATGAAATACACGTATCACGAAGTTTGGGAATAAAGTGACGGGTGGCACCAAAAATTTTCAAACAGTTGAGATCTGGGAAAAAGACTGGAAATAAATTATTTGCATCGATATGTCCTGATGACAATTTTAAAGAAAACAAAAAAAGTGTTTGCATAAACTGAAAAATTATTTCTTATGTTGTGATTGAGAGGTTATGTTGGTGGAGGGGGGTGATGACAACTTCCTCATTGGCTCAAGGGGGCGATTCTTTCAAAAAGGTTAAGAACCACTGGTCCAGGTCACGATTGTCCCAAAAGTGCTTTCTTTCAGAAGGTGCTTCCTTTGTTTTGCTAGAAGGCATTTCCCTTCTTATCCAAGAAGCTTCTTCAGTTCTGACTGAATGGTGGAGAATGGAAGGATTTATATTCCTTCTAGTCATCTGGTCATTAACCCTCATTCTGAGAGTCGTTGAGGCCACTGGGAGATTTATCTGTGCCCGCAGGATCATATATGAAAAAGGGCCAATGACCACATGACTCCAAGGAATATAAATCCTTCCATATTCCACCATTCAGTCAGAACTGAAGAAGCCTCTTGGATGAGAAGGGAAATGTCTTCCAGAAAAACAAGAAAGTCCAGTTGCCTTTTGAAAGAAAGCACTTTTGGGATGACAATGAAAGATGTAACAGAATCAATGTAGGAGATGACCAGGCTGAGCCAGGGGAGGGAGTCAAACATGTCATTAGTCTCAAATCCCTTCATGCCCACAAGAGATCTAAGTCCAGCCTACCTTGAATTCCATTGACTCTTATCTACTGTCTATTTGCTTTGACCCTGAGTAGTTCATATTCTTGTAAAGAGCTTAAGCTTGTAATAAACCCTTATATACATTTGAACTGCCTGAGTTTGCTGATTTCTGCACTTCCAGAGTTGGAAGGGACTTTGGAGGTCTTCTAATCCAACCCCCTGCTTGAGCAGTAGACCCTATACCAGGGGTCTTCAAACTTGGCCCTTTTATGACTTGTGGACTTCAACTCCCAGAATTCCTCAGCCAGCCACGCATGCCTGGCTGAGGAATTCTGGGAGTTGAAGTCCACAAGTCATGAAAGGGCCATATTTGAAGACCCCTGCCCTATACCATTCTGGACAAATGACTCTCCAGTATTGGAGCACCCACAACTTCTGAAAACCACCCGTTCCACTGATTAATTGGCTTAAGAAGTTAATTTCCTTCCTGAAATCATCCTGAAGTAAACAGACCGTGGCGTACTAGTCTACTTCTGGAGTGAAGTCATTGACCCACATCTTGAGGTGATGGAAGTTTTGTACTTCTTACATATATTTTTTTAAAAAAGCAGTTTTTCATCAAACCCCCCCCCCCAAAAAAAGAAGGAAATAAGCGCTGCAATGAAGAAATGCAGCAGACCAATTTGATTTCAAACAATTATTGATTGAGTCCCTAGCATCTGGCCAATCTATTTTTTTTTTCCCCAACCAGCTTCTGTTAATACAGATTGGAGATTTATAAGCGTTGGGAAACAACTTGACACGTTCCTTTTAGAAGGCTTCCGCCATCTGATTGCTTGAAAATAAGAAAATAAGCTAGAACAGTGGACGAGGATGGAAAGGAAGAGAACAGCTTTTATGTAATTTGTTTCTGGCTTGGGTGACTGAGAAGGAAGTCTCGAAGTCTGAAACATTTCCTGATATTTGGGGTTAGAAAGTTAGAAACTGTCAAAATTAATTTGTCTGTTTGTCTGTCTTTCTGTCTACCATCCATTCATCCATCCGTCCGTCCGTCTGTCCGTCCGTCTGTCTGTCTGTCTGTCTGTCTGTCTGTCTATCTATCTATCATGATGCACCAGAAAAATCAGGAGTTCCAGGCAACTCAAATGCATATAAAGATTTATTGTAAGCATAAGCTCTCTACAAGAATCTGAACTACTAGTGGTTAAGGAAAATTAGCGGGAGTTAAGAGTAGAAAGGAATTCAAGGTGAGCTGGACTTTCTTTCTTTCTTTCTTTCTTTCTTTCTTTCTTCCTTCCTTCCTTCCTTCCTTCCTTCCTTCCTTCCTTCCTTCCTTCCTTCCTTCCTTCCTTCCTTCCTTCCTTCCTTTCTTTATTTCTTTCTTTCTTTCTTTCTTTCTTTCTTTCTTTCTTTCTTTCTTTCTTTCTTTCTTTCTGCTTAATTCCAGGGATCGCGATGTAGGCAGATTTGATGGCCCTCAAGTAATGCTCCTTACTTCTCTGTCTTTCCTGTCTTCTCCAGGGCGGCTGCTATGTCCCATCAGAAAACTGCAGGCAACATGCCCACAAGTGGCATGAAGACCTCTGCCTCCTGCTCCTCAGTGCCCACAGAGGTCTTCGGGGCTACTATGCTGCCATTGCAAAGGAGGTTCCTGGTTTGCCCCAGCTGAAGTTAGGTACGTGGAGGGTTGTGAATTGAGAATGATACACACCATCTATGTCTCGGGCACAGATCAACACAAGGATGGTTACACCTCTCCACCAACTTGCCCAGGGCACATCTTTTAGCTCAGTGTCAGACTTGTCCCAGCTTGAGCATTTAGGAAAGAAAAACCCTTGACTCCATTTTTGAAGTGAAAGGTTCACTTTTGCTAAAGTCAAATGGTTACAGCATAAGCAAAGCTGGATCTGAATAGAATAGAATAGAATAGAATAGAATAGAATAGAATAGAATAGAATAGAATCTTTATTGATAATGAAGAGAAAAGAGAATCTTTATTGAATAGAATAGAATAGAATCTTTATTGATAATGAAGAGAAGAAAAAAGAGAATCTTTATTGAATAGAATAGAACAGAACAGAACAGAATAGAATAGAATAGAATAGAATAGAATAGAATAGAATAGAATAGAATAGAATAGAATAGAATAGAATAGAATAGAAGCTGGAAAGGACCTTGGAGGTCTTCTAGTCCAGCCCCCTGCTCAAGCAGGAGGACCTATACCATCCCAGACAGGTGATTGTCCAGTCTCTTTTTAAAAACCTCCAGTGATGGAGCACCCACGATTTCTGGAGGCAAGCTGTTCCACTGGTTGATTGTCCTCAACTTCCTGTCAGGAAGCTTCTCCTTAATTCCAGGTTGCTTCTCTCTTTGATCAGTTTCCAATCATTGTTTCTTGTCCTGCCTTCTAGTGTTTTGGAAAATAAGCTGAACCCCTTCTCTTTGTAACCACCTCTCAAATACTGGAATACTGCTATCATGCCTCCCCCCCCAGTCCTTCTTTTCTCTAGATTAGCCAAACCCAAATCCTATAACTGTTTTTTATGTTTTAATCTCCAGGCCTTTAATCATCTTAGTTCTTCTTCTTTGCACCTTTTCCCTAAATCTCAATATCTTTTTTGTAACGTGGTGACCAAAACTGGATGTGGTATTTCAGGTATGATCTTACTAAGGCTTTATTAAAGCGGTACTAGTACTTCATGTGATTTTGATCTATGCCCAGTTTATACAGTACAACCAAGGATAATATTAGCTTTTCTGGCGGCTGCCACACACTGCTGGCTCGTATTGCCTGAACAGGAGGTCATCTAATCCAACCCTCTGTCTGAGCAGAGGGTTGGATTAGATGACCTCCAAGGTCCCTTCCAACTCTGTTATTCTGTTCTGTTCTGTTCTAGATACTTCAGTGATTGTATGCTAGGACTCCAAGATCTCTCTCATGGTTACTGGTTTTGAGCCCGGTTTCCTTCCCAATCTCCTCTCCCATTTGCATTTTATGGCAGGATGCCAGCTAAACAAAGTATGAAGGTGGCAGACCTGACACTCAGTTTCTTCCCTGGTTTAAAACCCATTCATACTGTGTTGAGCATTCCCAGTGAAAAAAGTAACTTATGACCATTCTTCACATTTATGACCATTGCAGCATCCCCGTGGTCCTGTGAGCTTCTCGTTCTCCTCCTCCTCCTCCTCCTCCTCCTCCTCCTCCTCCTCCTCCTCCTCCTCCTCCTCCTCCTCCTCATCCTCCTCCTCCTCCTCCTCCTCTTCTTCTTCTTCTTCTTCTTCTTCTTCTTCTTCTTCTTCTTCTTCTTCTTCTTCTTCTTCTTCTTCTCCTTCTCCTTCTCCTTCTCCTTCTCCTTCTTCTTCTTTAAAACCCATTCATACTATTTTGAGCATTCCCAGTGAAAAAAGTAACTTATGACCATTCTTCACATTTATGACCATTGCAGCATCCCCATGGTCCTGTGAGCTTCTGCTCCTCCTCCTCCTCCTCCACCACCACCACCACCACCTCTTCTTCTTCTTCTTCTTCTTCTTCTTCTTCTTCTTCTTCTTCTTCTTCTTCTTCTTCTTCTTCTTCTTCTTCTTCTTCGTCTTCTTCTTCTTCTTCTTCTTCTTCTTCTTCTTCTTCTTCTTCTTCTTCTTCTTCTTCTTCTTCTTCTTCTTCTTCTTCTTCTTCTTCTTCTTCTTCTCCTCCTCCTCCTCCTCCTCCTCCACCACCACCACCACCACCACCATGACTACCACCACCACCACCATTACCACCCCACCACCTTCTCTTTTACCACTTTGGATGTCAAGGGAGATAAAAAAGTTCTGATTTTTGCTCTTCTGCCAGCCTCAACCATTGTTCACTGAAGTTGTTGTACTCTGTCTATGAAAGTGAATAATTGAATAAATTAATTACCAAAGCCCTAAATTATTATCCTGGAATAAACAGATAAGTTTCTCCATATCAAGGCATCTATCATAATAGGAGATATCAGGTAAAGAGATTACAGATTCTATGTTAAGGAGGAGATTTTGTGTCTGCTCAGTTTTGGGGGCCATTCCCCAATTGCTTATAGGTAGAACAATTAATGGAGGTGTTATGTGTTCCTGGCCACCTCTCTTCGTGACCAGAGGCCAGCTCGCCTGACCAATAACCAGCCAAGACACAGTGAAGGCCTTTTGTTTCATTTATCGCAATGCGGAGAGAGAAGCTATCAAAGCTTGGTTCTCTCCAAAGTTTCAACCCAAAATATTCCCTTCTTTATATAGCCCTGTCCCAGCCGCCACATCCCTCCTCTTTCCCCATTGGCTGAGGTACTATGAGGTTACACTCTTCGCAACTGCCTCCTACATATTTCCTGCTACGTACTAAATCATACATCACATGTACATTAAAATTAAGAGATAATTTACAGTATGCAAGGTGTGTCAATTAATATTAATCAACTAATTGCACATGCTCAGTTGCCTGAGTTCTGGCCCCTTTTTTATGACTTCTTAGAAAAATAGGTTCTTTCCTGTTTTGCTAGTTATCTTCTCTTACAGCTCCTTTTCCCATTCTGAAGACCCAGATAATTTTTGCCTATGTGTTTCTCTTACATCCTTCCTTTATGCTCTCCTTTCCTCTTTCCCATCTATTATAGTTTTTGGTAAGCTTGCTTGTCCAGGCAGTAAGTTTCCACTGCAACAAATTCAATTTTAAATTTCTCTTTCAATTTTTGAAGACCTTTCCTTTACTTCTATTAGAGGTAACATATTCGTATTGTTTCAAGTGTTCCTTTGAAAAATGACCTTCAGTTCTACTCTTAATTATGCAGGAGTTGTGCATTTCTCAAAGACAACATTTTGACATCTTATTTGGCAATTGTTAAGAAGCTGTCAGATCTAAACCAAAATATGTCATCTGAATATCAAGTATTTCAACTTTGGTGATTACACCCCCCCCCTTCTCTCTATCTAGCCTTCCATGTTCTAATTTCGAAGCAGGAAATCTACTTTTAAGGCACCATGCTATTGCTTAAGTGGGTATTTTATAACCACATTTTAAAGTTTAAGCCAGGGGTCTTCAAACTTGGCCCTTTTATGACTTGTGGATGTCAACTCCCAGAATTCCTCAGCCAGCGTGCCAAGTTTGAAGACCCTTGGTTTAAACAAATGATAAAAATGAAGATTCCCCACAAACCAAGTTTTCTTTGTTCTCTGTGCGGTTTGCTTGGGAACAACTTGGAAGCAGTTTGCCATTAATTTTTTCCTGTCTTGGGATTTTTTTGTTTCTGACTAAATATGTCAGAATCTACTTAACCTTTTGTGATCAGCCAAGTGCATCTACTTTGCTATTGGGAAAAAAAGAGAGAATCAATGAATTTCTCATTTGCATGATTTTATCTGTGAAGAATCTTATGGTTTCTCTAATTCCCTAATTGTGCTTTGCCAAGATTTGACCATCCCCCCCCCTCTTTCTTGTGTTTCCGTTCATTGTTTTTGTCTCAGATAATCAACCTTCCTATTCTTTTTTTTATTTTTAGAAGATCTTGCTGTGGAACAGACACTATCACAACTTTCTGAAGAGCTGCAGGTATTTCCAAATGACTAACACCAGGAAGTAGTGTTAACGTCAAATGCAAAAATACAATAAGGTGTATCCTATTAATTTTAACACAAACTTGGGGACGGTTTATTTTTAGCATGGTCAAATTTATTTCCATTCATTTTAGCCTACTTTTATTCATTTCTGTTTTGTTTTGTTTCGTTATTTATGTCTTGTCATTAATATTGTCGATATATATATATATATCCTTAATTATGCTAAAAATACGAATCCCAGGTATACTCATATTCAAGAAGATAATCGAACACCCGGATAAAATAGAAACAAAATTGTTTTAATACACTTAGCTTTCGTCAGTTAACTGCCAATGTTCTCAGAGTAAAAATGCCAGTGTTTTGGGAGCTTGCTTATAAAGCCGCCCATTTTTGCGCTCTGTTCATGGACCGAGTTACCGGTCTATCCTCCCCAATTGGCCATATTGTTTCTAGCTGTCCCGCATCAGTCAGCTGACGAAAGCTAAGTGTATTAAAATAGTTTTGTTTGTATTTTATCCAGGTGTTCGATTATCTTCTTGAATATATATATATTGAATATATATATATTCTTGAATATACATATATATATATATATATATATATATATATATATATATATATATATATATATATATATATATTTTCTGAGGTTTTCGCGGGTGTTTGTATGTAGGTCTTTGGTTGTTCGGGTTTTCTCCCGCGTAAAATTGGAAGTGTCTTGGCGACGTTTCGACGAAGTCCCATTCGTCATCTTCAGGCTGGTGCTTTCAGCTTCGTGCCTCGAGCAGCAATGTGTGGTCTTAGCTGTTTCTTCCTTTTAACTGCCAGTGGGGGTCTGAACTGATTGGGTGGGAGCTTGGCTGTGTTCTGATTGGGTGGAGGTGTGTTCTGAATGGTTAGGGGCTTGGCTGTGCTCTGATTGGCTGGGGAGTGTTCTGTTTGGTTGTGCTCAGGTTAGTCTGAGTTGCAGAGGGGTTTAAGATTTTGGGCTGCCTTGCTATTTTCTGGCTTCGCGTTCGTGGTCGTGCCTCCTCTTCATGGAGGGTGTCAGTTTGCTTCATGTATGGATTGGAGGGGTTTAGAGTGGCTAATGAACAAGCGAGATGATACCTCCCGCCTACAAGCCATTTGGAAACCCGTCCTTATTGACAAACGACTCCCTAACACAAAAAATGATACCAGACCCACACTCACAAAAACCACACAGGATGTCACCACCACACATCCACGCAAAAAACAAACCCAAAGCCACGCCGATGACAAGGCACGACCACAAACCAGAAGCCAGACCACAGCTGCATCATTAGCATCATTAGGAAGTACAGCTGCACATTGCTGGCTGATATTTTAGTGGACAATAATTTAAATATGAGCCAGCAGGGTGCAGCAGCAGTCAAAAAAGCCAACCCAATCCTAGATTGGATTAACATAGGGATACAATCAGATCATGTGAAATATTAGTCCTGCTTTATAAAGCCTTAATAAGACCACACTTATTGCATCCAGTTTGGTCACCATATTATTAAAAAAAAAAAGTGTTGAGACTCTGGAAAAAGTACAGAAAAGAGCAACCAAGATTGGGCTGAAGAGTGGTGGCAGGAACTAGGTATGGTTAGTCTAGTGAAAAGAAGGACTAAGGGTAACATGATAGCAGTGTTCCAATATTTGAGGGGTTGCCACAAAGAAAAAAGGGGGGGTGTCAGTCTACTTTCCAAAGCACCAGAAGGCAAGACAAGAAACAATGGATGGAAACTAATCAAGGAGAGAAGCAATACAGAACTAAGGAGAAATTTCCTAACAGTGAGAACAATTAACCAGTGGAACATCTTGCCTTCAGAAGTTGTGGGTGTTCCATCACTGGAGGTTTTTAAGAAGATTCTGGACAGCCACTAGTCTGAAATGATATAGGATCTCCTGCTTGAGCATGGGATTGGACTAGAACTCCCCAAGTCCCTTCCAACTCTATTATTCTGTTATTCTGAAAGCCTGCATAGTCCTGGGAAAGAGTGTTGGATTGGGATGTGGATGGTCTGTTTGAATCTATTCTACACCAATTTGACCCTGAACTTTAAGTCACTGTTCTGTTATTGTAGCTACAGGCCTTGTGAACAACCATGGAGGAAGTGTGGAGACACTGAATAGCACATTTCTTTCCCACCTTCCATAAATATTTTGCACCTGCCATGCCACCCAATTCACTCAATTAATCAGTGAGGCAATATTTTGGCTAGTTGCTGATTTTTTCCCACAAATAGGAGAGCTCAATAAGGTCAGAATCATGTGAACAATTCCTTCTAAAAAGAACGTACAAAAACAGAAATGTAGAGGCTGAGAAGTTTTTCATAATTCTTAGGAGCCAATTTTGATAGTGGGACCAACTATAACATCTAAGAAAGGCTTTAGAATTTGATGATGAGGGTGAAAATGATGGATCGTTCTTTTTTCTATATAGTGATCATCATCGTCATACAAGGAACGGTTGCGAGAATTGGGTATGTCTAGCTTAATGAAGAGAAGGACGAGGGGGGACATGATAGCAGTGTTCCAATCTCTCAGGGGCTGCCCCAAAGAAGAGGGAGTCAAGCTATTCTCCAAAGCACCCGAAGCCAGGACAAGAAGCAACGGGTGGAAACTAGTCAAGGAGAGAAGCAACCTAGAACTAAGGAGAAACTTCCTGACAGTGAGAACAATTAACAAGTGGAACAACCTGCCTCCAGAAGCGGTGAATGCTCCAACACTGGAAGTTTTTAAGAAGAGACTGGACAGCCACTTGTCCGAAATGGTGTAGGGTTTCCTGCCCGAGCAGGGGGTTGGACTAGATGACCTCCAAGGTCCCTTCCAACTTTACTACTACTATTATTATTATTATTGTCATCATCATCATTGTAATCATCATCTTTGTCATTGTCATTGTCATTGTTGTTATTGTCATCATCATCATCATCTTTGTCATCATCGTCATTGTGATCACCACCATCATTGTCACCATCATCATCACCATCACCAGAAAATGTTTGGCCTCATAAAAATCCTAATATATTATACAGAGAAATTAGCTGTATAATCATACTTTATCTTACAGCATTGTGCATCGCCATCTAATGGTTAATTTGTAAATGGTTACAATTGCATGCACTGCAATATCCAAAAATAAAGATTCGATAGCCTACCAATATTCACATCTTGTTCTTGGAGTGGCTGTGCAATTTATTTATGGCCTGTGAAGGAAAGAGTTGACAATTGAGTGATTATTCCCCCCCCCCCAACAAAAGTAGCAAAAATGAAGCCAAAGCCAAAGAGAGATTAATCGGTCAAGGGTACCTGGGAAAACATTTGGAAAAAAAATGACAAATTGTGACAATAAGCCACATTTTGAAAGGGGGTGTGTGATTTTATGCTTTGCAAACCTCTTCAGAGCAAAATGAATGAGAAATGAATGAATGTGAAGAAAAAAAAACCTGTTCAGTTATTGTTGAGAGTTTGGAAAAAATTCAGAGAAGAGCAACTAAGATGATCAAAGGCCTGGAGACTAAAACATAAGAAGAACAGCTGTGGGGCTTGGGTTTGGCTAGTCTAAAGAAAAGAAGAAATAGGGGAGACATGATAGCAGTGTTCCAGTATTTGAGGGGCTGCCACGAAGATGAGGGGGTCACGTTATTCTCCAAAGGACCAGAGGGCAGAACAAGAAACAATGGTTGGAAACTGACAGAGAAGCAATCTGGAATTAAGGAGAAACTTTCTGACAGTGAGGACAATTAACCAGTGGAACAGCTGGCCTCCAGAAATCATGGGCTCTCCATCACTGGAGAAGAGACTGGACAATCACCTTCTCTGACATAGTGTAGGTTCTCCTGCTTGAGCAGGGGGCTGGACTAGAAGACCTCCAAGGTCCCTTCTAGCTCTATTCTATTCTATTCTATTCTATTCTATTCTATTCTATTCTATTCTATTCTATTCTATTCTATTCTATTCTATTCAGAATAGAATTCTTATTGATTCTCAGAAAAGAAATTGATAAAGGGAATAAGATTCAGTTATGGGATGTTCTGCATAACTATGGCATTAAACATTCGTTGAACATTTGAGAGAAGTAAGTGGGGCTAAAAGAAATAAAATGCTTAACAAATAATAGAATATGGAGCAAGATGTCAGAACAGAATTATAATGCCCTCTGGTTATCTTATGGTTTAATAATGGATAAACATAATGAATGCTTTTGGAGATATTAGAAAACATTTACAAATACAGATGTGTTTGTCCTGTTGTACTGCTGTGTGCAAATAACGCTCTGCTGTTAGCCAAGTATCCAGGATCTTTGCAATTAGTCTTAATTTTAATGAAGTAGGGAAGTGTATGAATCTGAAAATTCAGAGACAAAGGAAGTTCTATTTTCAGAGAAAATAGAGTGAAAAACTGCATGCATGTGGTATATAAATGGCAAGAAAGAAAGAAAGGAAGGAAGGAAGGAAGGAAGGAAGGAAGGAAGGAAGGAAGGAAGGAAGGAAGAAAAGAAAGAAAGAAAAAAGAGAGAAAGAAAGAAAGAAAGAAAAAAAGAAAGAAAGAAAGAAAGAAAGAAAGAAAGAAAGAAAGAAAGAAAGAGAAGATGAAGTTGTGTTCTTAATAAATGGAATAGTGGATGGAAAATGACAAATTAAGTGAAATCTGGCTCAAAAACAGTAATTGTTGGTTAATTGTTCTCAGCATTAGGAAGTTTCTCCTTAATTTCAGGTTTCTTCTCTTCTTGATTAGTTTCCATCCATTTGTTCTTCTCCTTCCCTCTGGTAATAAGGTGTGGTCTTACTAAGATTTTATAAAGCAGCACTAATACTTCATGTGATTTTGATTCCACACTTCTGTTTATACAACCAGGATTGTATTAGCTTTTTTGGGGTGCTGCTGCTGCACACTGCTGGCTCATGGTCAAACGATCGTCCGCTAGGACTCCAAGGTCCTTCTCATAGTTACTGTTTTTCATCCAGTTCTTGCCCTAATCTGTACTTGTGCCTTTGGTTTTTCCCGCTTAGGCATAAAACCTTGCTTTTCTCCACATTAAATTTCCTTTTGTTGGATAGGGCCCATTGTTCAAGTCGGTCAAGATCTTTTTGAATCCAGAGCTTGTCACATTTTGTCACCAGCTGTTCTTTACATTGTCTTTCATCCTTCTAGATGCTGAATAACTCAGAAAAGATAGCAGAGCAGATCAGCAAAGATCTTGGATGGCTCTGCTCCCACCTTTTAGCCCTGTGGACCCAATTTTTGGCAATTGTAACCCTGCATCCTGACGTCACAACATACCTTCTTCAAGAGCATCACACACTAAGGGTAACTTGCAAAATACTGATGTGCCCAATCTAGAAGAAGAAAGTGATATGTGATCGGTTGAAGTGTATGGGGTTAATTTGAGGCTACTATGGGATTGCTTTATGATACAAAGCTGAGAGTCAATTTCCTTTAGGTCAGTGGTTCTCAAACTTTTTAATGCCGCGACCCCCAACCGGTCGTAAGTCGAGGACTACTCAACCAGTCGTAAGTCGAGGACTACTCAACTGGTGCAGCACCGTTTGCAGACTGGGACTTTTGGCGGGCTCAGCAGGGCAGAGACAGCCTGGACAATTCCTATTGGCTTTTGAAAGCCAATAGAATTAGACTCTATTCAAGAGAGTCTATTCTATTGGCTTTCAAAAGCCAATAGAATAAAAGGAAGTAGCACAGCTAAGGAAAAGGGGGGGGGGAAATGGCGGACTGTGTTGTTTGGCGACCCCCGTGAAATGGTCGTTCAACCCCAAATGGGGTCCCGACCCACAGGTTGAGAACCACTGCTTTAGGTGTCTTATATAGACCCTTTCTCCTTCTGTTATTGATCGTTAAAATTGTTTAGTATATTAATAAATTATTATCCTTAATCAAATACATGGTTTAACAGAAATTGTTCTATTGTTTCAATGTCAACTGGAAAAATTCAATTGTGCAAAGTTTAAAGGGGTGACAACTTTCATCAAAATAGTTTTTTAAAAAAGAAATTTAAAAAGGACAAAATGTTTACCCTTTGTAGCACCTATGTGGTTAATTTATTCAGTATTGTTTTGAACTCAAGTTGGCTTAAAGATCGATTCCATCAGAATAACAGAATTTATCTAAGTTACTTTGTTTATTTTATTTGATAATACAAACAACCTGCCTCCAGAAGCAGTGAATGCTCCAACACTGGAAGTTTTAAAGAAGAAACTGGACAGACATTTGTCCGAAATGGTATAGGGTTTCCTGTCTGAGCAGGGGGTTGGATTTGATGACCTCCAATGTCCCTTCCAACTTATTATTATTATTATTATTATTATTATTATTATTATTATTATTATTATTATTATATCAATAAGACAGATGGGCACAGGGACTCTTTTCTTAAGAATCTTAGCTCTCTTAACTGACTGCAAAAAAAATCACGAACATAACTTTCATGAGGGAATGGAACAAAAATAGAAATTCTTTACTTTCTCTAATAGCTCAATAAACTTTTTTTAGACTTGGCAAGCAAGTAAATAAAGATTAGGCAGAAGTTAGGCACATCAATAACCAGAGGAGACCATGAGGAAAGTAGCAAGAGGGTAGTGAGAAAAAAAAAAGAGCTGGTTTGTGTGGGAGGATAGGAGGCATCATGGCCCACAACAGAAACACACTTTTGCACAGAATAGAACAGAACAAACAGAGTTGGAAGGGACCTTAGAGGTCTTCTAGTCCAACCCTCTGCTCAGGCAGGAAACCCTATAGGATTTCAGATGAATGGTTGTCCAGTCTCTTCTTAAAAACCTCCAGTGATGGAGCATTCACAGCTTCTGGAGGCAAGCCGTTCCACAGGTTGATTGTTCTAACTGTCAGGGAGTCTGCAAAGCTGCTTGTGAACTGTTTTTGAATTAGGAATAGCCCCAGCATCCATAGCTTATATTCACTGAATATCGATATGGGCTTAGTTAAAAAAAAAAAGAGCAAGATTTTGAGATGCACTTGTCCAAACAAAAAGAAAAAAGTTTAGAAAAATGAACAACAAGGTTTGATTCTAGGCAGATGAGTTACATGAGGCAGGACAGCTTGCTTTGATGATGATGATATCCATTACCGTATATTTCTCCACTAGGTAAAGAGATTTTCGGAGGCCTTCTTTTATGCAGAACATGAAAAATGTGCTGCAACAACTTTCCAGGAGAGCCTGTATGTAATTTTCAGTGTCTTCTTTCCATATCTCATCTCCTCCTCCTCCTCTACTTCTCCTCCTCCTCCTCCCCTCTTCCTCCCCTCCTCTTCCTCCTCCATATCAAATATGAATGTTCTTTATTTTTTCTAAGGAAGAACTGGTGCAAGAGGGTTCAAGGAAGAGAGAAGGGGTCCTTTGTGCTCTCTGAGCTTGGCTGTTTCCTTGCAGATGTTTTATTACCCAATGATGATGTTATCTAGTTTGGGTAATGAAATGTCTGCAAGAAAACGAGGAAGCTCAGAAAGCACCAAGGACCCCTTGTGTCAACCCTTATTTCTCCTTTGTTTAAAGAGAGGAGGCCCCTAGTGATTCAATTTTGGTTTTACACGAAGGGGAGAACAACTGGTTCAGGGTAGAGCTTCCACAGAGCATGTGAAGTTCTCCTCTTTCCATCTTCACTTCATGGTTGAGGGCAAACAAGGGAATGATGGTGAGTCATGAATGATGCCTTGAAGATCTGTTGGACAGACGGATCAAAGTGAGAGACGCTAAAGAAACCTACCGTATATTCCAGCGTATAAGACGACTGGGCGTATAAGACGACCCCCAACTTTTGAGAAGATTTTCAGGCTTTAGAAAGTCATCTTATACGCCAGAAAATACAGTACAATATTGAATTTCTGTTTCTAGATGAGCACAATAGGAGCTCCTTTGCTGCTAGAAAGCTTTGTCCTGTTAGTGCTTATTTCTATAAAAAAAATAGGGCTGGCCACTAGGGGGCAGATTGGTTTTAAATTCAGAGAACAGCTACCCGTATATTCCTGCATATAAGACGACCGCTGACTTTTGAGAAGATTTTCAGGCTTTAGAAAGTCGTCTTATACACCGGAAAATACGGTACTTCTTTTCCCTAAGGCTTTCTCTTGGGATAGTCACCACCAAGCTCCACATTCCATAATATAAGATTCATTGAGTGTTTAACGGGAGAAAGTTTTGGAAAATTTTACACAATGGGCACCTATTTGGTCTGATTTAATAAGAGTAAACTGAAGAGGTGACAAAGAGGAAGTTTCACAGAAGCTTTCTACAGCTGACCCTGAACTGTTCTACCATTGGCGGTAGAAATTATTTCAACATTGTCCTAGAAGCCCTACCGTAGACATAATATTTAAAGAATAAAAACAAACGAAAAATCATTTTAATCCACATTTCATTCCACTCCAAAAATGTTAAACACAACATGTAGCCAATCCAAATGTTATTTATCTCTGCTTTAAATTGAACTATTGGTATCAGATGTGAAGAATCAGCACCATGCATTAAGCCAGTGGTGGGATTCAGCTGGTTTGCACTGGTTTGGCAGAACAGGTAGTTAAATTTTGTTGAGTTTGGAGAACTGGCTAAACCCACGCTGCTTCTGGAAGTCCATTCTAGATCTCAGAGGCCTGGAGGAGGCCTCCCAGGCCTAGAATCACCCACAGGAAGTGCATGGATGTCACTTCCGGAAGTCTGTTCTAAGCCTCAGAGGCCCAGGCCTGCATCCATGCAGAGAACTGGTTGTTCAGATATTTGAATCCCCCCACTGCATTAAGCTCTAGATAAGCTGGTTTATTGTTCATGCCTATACAGAAGAATCTGTTCAATTAAAAGTCAGCACTAAACTGATGATAGATGAGGCTCAATGGAATTCAAGAGGGCTTGGACTTAGACCATTTGTGGGAACGTAATGACTTTAGGCTAAGTCTTTTCTTGACTCCTCCCCAAGGCTCTGCCTGTTCTTCTCCTACAATTGTCTCCTAAATCATGTGTATTCCATGGAGAAGACAGTAGCGCTTCCAGTGAAAGTGTGAAGTTCTCCTTTTTTTCCCCCAACTCATTACTTCATCCTTGTTGCTCTCCACTCATTTCTTAACTTCCAATAGAACTGTCACCTTCAAAAATAATTAATTATGGAATTATTGAAAACTAGTTGGAAATCAATAGGTGAAGAGGGAAATATCCCTCTCCCCAAATAGAAGAAAAAAATAATGTTGATGGTGAAAAGCTACATTTTGATTTTCTCCATCTCCTTCCCAACAGCATCCAGCATCATAGCCAGATTTCAACAGAAGTTCGATATTCTGAGTATTTGACCCGTATGCCGCCTCTCCCTGTAGAATGCCTGGACATTGATGGAGACTGGAGCACACTACCAATTATCTTTGAGGACAGATACGTTGATTTCCCTTATCAAGGTGGGCAAGGGTAGGAGTTCCTTTTAATTGCTGGGAGCTTTCAGTGTTAGCACAGAATGCACCATTCCAGCCATCAGAACTGTGAAATGCTACAGTTATTTTAAAAAAACTGCTATTTGTGAGTCTGAATTGTCAAGCCACATGTGTGAGAAAGCCAATGGTGTCTGTGATGGAGAGATGTGCTTGGTTCTACCTTCATATAGGGAATCTAGTGCATGATTACAAAGGGAAAGCATGCCCAAAGAAAGCAAGAGCTTTTCAATCATTCTAGATGTCCAGACATGGATTCATGGATTTTTGTCACAGGAAAGCAGATTCCAAATTAATGTTGGGAAGATTTTTTTTTTTTTTAAAGGGTGAGAGCTGCTTGACAGTGAAAGCAATTATCTACATCCCATTCTGTTTCTGGGGAGGCTATGCAACCATCTCTCATGGATGCTTCCTTTTTTTATTCCTGCTTTATGATTCTATGTGCAATTATGGTTTGGGCTGTATTTGTGTATGTGTGTGCAATTATGGTTTATGTGCAATTACACTGTTCCACTTGGGAAAAGAAGCAATATTCAGTTCAAAGTCAACAGGGCCTAGAATAGGATCAATTTTCTTATGCCTAAGGCTTTATTTTTTTATATTTATTTTCTCAAATTCCATTTAATTAAAGATAGTTCTACAAAAAGTGAGAAAGATGTTTCTGTGTGTGTGTGTGTGTGAGAGAGAGAGAGAGAGAGAGAGAGAGTGAGAGAGTGAGAGAGAGAGAGAGAGATGTTCTGTACAGGGACCAATATGGTTCATGAAATGCAACTGCCTTCTTTGAAACTGTAGTGTTGTGTAGTTAGGACCATAATTATATTATTGCACAACCATGCTTGCAAAACACAACATCCAGAAGTCTTTTTATTGGCCATGGTAGCCCTGGGTATCTCAGGAACTCCTTTTCCAGCTGACTCTTTTCCTATTCTTCTTCAACCTTCCTTGAGTGAGAAATAGTATAGGCATGTATTCTCTGTCTATGGTTGACCTAATCTGGCCACATCGTCTTTCTCTTATTTGTGTAATTTGTGAGGAAGGGGTTCACAAACATGCACCCACCCACCATTTAATTTGGGGAGAGTACCTTTGGGTGCAGATGGGGTAGGGATCTCCTTGGAACCGTTTATATCTCCTAGGAATGATCTGGTCATCTACAATGTTTTGTGGAGACATGAACAAAATTTCATGGCTGCTTCACTTAATCGAGTGGCAGAAATGAGTATTTCCTTTTCAGTGAGCACTTACAGATGTTTTTCAAAGAGAAACAGGACAAATTAAAGAAGAGTTGCTGTTGGGTTTTTTTTGTTTTTTTTTTGCAGAGGAAGGGGTCAGTATGTACATAGGTCAACAAGCTCTGGGTCCCCTGACTGTGGCTAAAATATTCATTTATTTATTTATTTATGAGACTTATATACCGCTTTAAGTGCAAGCACTCTCTAAGCGGTGTACACCAGTAAGCAATGTATATATATATTTACATTGCCCCCAACAATCTGGGTCCTCATTTTACCTACCCCGGAAGGATGGAAGGCTGAGTCAACCTTGAGCCGGTGAGATTTGAACCGCTGACCTGCTGAACACAGTCAGCTAAAGTGGCCTGCAGTACTGCACTCTAACTGCTGCGCCACCTCGGCTCATTTACAGCTCACACCACTTCAAGCCCACAATGAAGGGATTATAGTTTACTGGTTTGTATGCAGACATCAAAGTCTACATACAAGGGGTCCTTGGTGCTCACTGAGTTTGCTTATTTTCTTGCAAACATTTCATTACCAAAGTAGGTCACATCATCAGTGTAGTAAGCAGTGGGGTTTGTTCTTAATTTATGTTCTAATAGCTTGCCCTGTCAGTGTTGGTGGGAATACTCTTAGAGGTTCTTTGGTTGGGTTGTTTACTGTTAGCTTGTCTGGCAGTTCCTTGATTGAGATATTGTTTAATCAAAAGTAGAGTTGGAAGGGACTTTGGAGGTCTTCTAGTCCAACCCCCTGCTCAAGCAAGAGACCCTATACCATTCCAGACAAGTGACTGTCTAGTCTTTTCTTAAAAACTTTCAGTGATGATGCACTCACAACTTCTGGAGGCAAGCTGTTCCAATGGCTAATTGTTCTCACTGTTGGGAAGTGCCTCCTTAACTCCAGGTTGCTTCTTTTTAGAATAGAATAGAGCTAGAAGGGACCTTGGAGGACCTCCAGATTTTACTTCTGGATTGTTAGTCTGATGTTAATTTTTGATGTTAATCTATGCTCATCTGGGCATTGATGGCTAAAGTACATCTGGACATGTGAGCGTCAGACCCAAGAATCACTTTATTGAGAAGGGTGGTCATCTAAATCGTACATCAATGGTTATTTGGTTTTATAGTAATCTCATTTGGGTTTAGGATTAGGATTTTCTCATCCTGGCATATTAGTGATGTCTAATGGTTCCATTTTTCTTTCCTTTTCAGTTCAGGGCTTAGACATTTTGTCAAACTATATGATTTCCGCAGTGGACAATTTACAAGTGGACGTTGATAAAAATGAGGAGCCTTCCTCAAACAACAATATTGCTTTAGCAAAGAAGGACTTCAAGAACAGCATCCCTTTTGTTATACATACTGATAGGATAAATAGAAATTTTATGTTTCCCTTTGGCTGTTCAAAAGGTGACTGCTGTACGGCCAAGAATTTCAAGGCTCACTCCGTGACTCAGGTATACACGATGAATGAAAATGACCAGTCCTACATCACTCAGAAAGAGCTGGAGACCAATGTTATATCTAGCTTGCCATCAGATCTCCTGAAAGAGCCTTCAAATAACTTTAAGGGACCAATGAGCTTTATAGAAAACAATTGTCGGATCACCACAGAGGATGTAGACCCAGTGTGTAAGACTGCCGACCAAAATAAATCAGTGCTTATTATGAATACTCAGTGTGATGCCGGCTATTATGAACCTCCTAAACATCTGGATGGGGTTAGTTTGAGCCAAGCAGCTCAAAGGGATTGTTGTGAATCTACTCTTGCTTCTGACCAATCAAGGTTCATTGAGACACCAGTAGATCAATGTAGTGAAACTCTGTTGCGAGCCCAGAGGACATTTGATGTAATTCATAATTTCAACTCCTCAAATCCAACAACGGTTGTTGAAGAGTCCAAGTTACATCTGAAGGAGCCTAACATGAAGAAGCATGAAGATGTCTTGATATCAGGAGTCATTAAGAGATCTTCATCAGTCATTTCAGACTCAGGAATTGAAAGCGAACCCAGTTCAGTCGCTTGGTCAGATGCAAAGAGCAAAGCCTTGGAGTTGGCCAGTGATCAAGAGAACCTTCACCAGCTAGTCAACAGGCATGCAATCCATCGGAATTCCCTAGAAGGTGGACGTACGGAAAGCAACACAAGCTTGCCTAATGGCATACAAGCCTCACTTACGTCTATTAGCTCCTTGCCTTATGAGGAAGACGAAAGGGAGGTGGAGCCCAGCAAGTTGACAAAATCAATCTCTGCTCCTCAGATCAGCAGTCCCGAGGAATCCGTGGAAGTCATGGATATATCCAAATCTGATAAAAACATCTCGGGTGGGCATGATGTGGAAACAGGAAATGCCAGAATGGTCTCAGTGGGAAATATTTCCACCTGCCAGGATGGAGAACCTCAACTGTCCAGTGGTTTGATGGAACACCCCAAATCTGATTGCAATGCTGCTCACTTGAAAGGAAGTGTTAAGGGCTATCCTGAAAATGACTGTACTTTGGAAGCCACAGAGGGACCACTGCCTCAAGTAGAATGCCAGTGGCCAGAGAGAAGAGAGGATGGCCATTTCGAAACAGCTAATAATTATTTGGATGCAGATGCTTCTAATCTGGATATCTATGATGAGGATGCAAACATGAATCGTGACCACAATTTGTATGCTGCAGATGTGTATGCTTTCTCACACTGTGAGAAGGAGGTGATGGACTTTTGCTATGCCAATCCAGACTCAACAGACTCGGCATATGAATCGAACTTTACTAGGGAGAACTCCGCTAACTCTCCGGTCAGCAGCAACAATATAGCCTGTGGTAAAGAAATCACAAATTTACAGAAAGTCAGACTGGACAACAGATCTGAGTGTGGCTCATGCAGCATTGAGCTGGAGAAAAGGGATCTCAAGAGCATAGCAAATAGCACTGGATTTCATTCTGCAGTGCCAGAAAAGTTGGTGCTTGAGAGTAAGAAGGCCGTGGAGATAGTCAACTTATCCATTTCTTGCACAGCCACCTGTCTGCCCTTTTCTTCAGTTCTCAAGGAGACACCTCCACTGACTGTCTTGTCCACCAAGCAGGTCACATCTCCTATCACTCACCAACCAATAGGGTCCTTTGGGGTCATCTCTTGCGAATCTAGTAAAGTGGGAGAAGAAGACAATGAACAAATGCTCAAGTAAGAATTATATAATTAATATTATAAATGTATTGATATGCTGAGTGTTTGCACTGTAATAGATCCTAAGGAGGTAAAGATGACACTGAATGTAAATGTATAATATCTTGCCCAAGGAAACCCAAGGGTGCGTTGACAGCTGGCCAAATTTCAGCCTCTTGCTGAACTGAATCAATAGCAGTATCCTTCCTCCCTCCCATTCCTCCTTCCTTCCTTCCTTCCTTCCTTCCTTCCTTCCTTCCTTCCTTCCTTCCTTCCTTCCTTCCTTCCTTCTTCTTTCTCCTTTCTTCCTCCCTCCTTCTCCCCCTCCTCTCCCTTCCCTTTCTTTCTTTCTTTCTTTCTTTCTTTCTTTCTTTCTTTCTTTGTTTCTTTCTTCCTTTTTTCTTTCTCCCTCCTTCCTCCCTCCCATTCCTCCTTCCTTCCTTCCTTCCTTCCTTCCTTCCTTCCTTCCTTCCTTCCTTCCTTCCTTCCTCCCTTCCTCCCTCCCTCCCTCCCTCCCTCCCTCCCTCCCTCCTCTTGCTGAAAGAAAAATGACACAAAAAGTCTATTTCCTAAATCCTAACCCTCAAGTATTATTTTGCGATGGTTTGCAAAACACAGAAAGAAACTTTTAACATGAGACCATCATGGTAAATTACTCTTCCATAGCATCCATGTGGATAGGAATGGTGGTGTGGTGGCGAACCTATGGCACGCGTGCCACAGGCAGCACACGGAGCTGTCTCTGGTGGCACGCGAGCCATTGCTGGGCCAAGCTGTTCCCTCCTCCTCTCCGCGCATGCGCAGTCTGGGAATAGGCAAGAGACTATAAAAGGAGCAACTTTCGGCAGAAGCAGCATTTGCTGCACACAGTGAGAGAGCGAGCATAAGTCGGAGCGGACAGTGAGCGAGCGAGCGAGTGAGCACAAGCCGACAGCTTGGTGGCCACGCCCACTTGGTGGCCACACCCACTCGGCACCCAGCGATCCATAAGTGGATTTTGGGTTGCAGTTTGGGTACTCGGTCTCTAAAAGGTTCGCCACCACTGATATAGGTGGTGCCACTTTAGAAGCTTCTTAGCAACATCAGTGGGTACTTCACTTTGCCTCATTCACCTTTTGTGGTTTTTTCCAGGGTTCTCTGCAGTGTATCCTTCCTAAAATTAGGCATGTGTGTTCAAGTGGAGTTCCTTTATCCTAATAGCTTCCATTTACCGTACTGTAGACAAGAGCATGAATAGGCTATTTCTTCACATTGCGGAATTGATACCGCACATAAATGTGGGAATTTAACGAATGGTGTTTGCACTCAGATTTGAACAGCTAAATCAGTTCTGCTTCTCCACCACTGAGATATCTGTTGCAATTAACCCAATGGACAAAGTAGTTGCATCCTATCAAGCACCTTGTTCAGCCTGTGATTTATTGGTGTATTGTCCAGTTTCTATCAGGCCAAAGAAACATTTAAAAAGGAACTGAAGATTGAAGGATTTCTGTACAGTGACTTATCCATACTAGCTTCTGATACCCCATATTTTCCACCAGAGGAAGAGGAAGAAAATTTGGAAGATGGGATTCACCTAGTGATCTGTGTCCATGGGCTAGATGGTAAGGCCAAAAAACAAAACAAAAAACAAACAAATAAACAAACAAACACCCCCCATCATCCATATATGTATATGTATATGTATGTATATATGTGTATATGTATGTATGTATGGGGTCAGGCAGAAAGTCAGGACCATATGTTCAGTTGCAGTTCAGACAATTTATTACTCAAGCCTATACACAAGAATCTAGTCAAGTAAAGTTCAGTATTAAACTGACTCCAGATAAGGGTCAATGGGATTATATTTAGACCATTTATGGGAACATAGCGACTCTAGACTGATGACTCATTTAACTCTACCCCTCCCAACTCTGCCTGTTCTTCTCCTACATCTGGTCTGCCTGGACAAGTCCCTCCAATTTTGTTGGCATGGTTTTCTAGTGGTTTCCATTGCCTCATTCCTAGGGCAGAGAGAGAGGGGGAGAGAGAGAGGGAGGAAGGGAGGGAAAAGAGAGAGAGGGGGAGGGAGAGGGAGGGTGGGTGGGAGAGAGAGAGAGAGAGAGAGAGAGAGAGAGAGAGACTAGCCCGAGGTCACCAACCTGGCTTTAATATTTAAGACAGGGCTAAAATTCCCATTCTACTAGTTTCTAGCTTGCTGCCTTAACCACTATATCAGACTTCCTGTTCATTTTCTTCATTCATGTGAACTATTGGATATCAATAGAGCAACCTATATTCATCCTGCATAAAGACTCCAATCTTGACTACATAGAGGGACATATAGGTGTATCCAAAGGATACCTGGATCAAAATATTTACTTTTGGTTTCTCCAGGTAACAGTGCAGATCTTCGGCTGGTAAAAACATTCATCGAATTGGGTCTCCCTGGAGGAAAACTTGACTTCCTAATGTCAGAAAGGAACCAGGTATTTGATTCATTCTTTAGCTCTTTTAAAACTTGATGTCTACATTTCCATCTTATAAAGAAGATGTTTGGTGAAAAGTGAAATTGAATGGACATTGCCACAAAGGTCACAAATTACTTTTGATATATATATATATATATATATATATATATATATATATATATATATATATATATGTTTTCTGAGGTTTTCGCGGGTATTTGTATGTAGGTCTTTGGTTGTTCGGGTTTTCTCCCGCGTAAAATTGGAAGTGTCTTGGCGACGTTTCGACGAAGTCCCATTCGTCATCTTCAGGCTGGTGTTTTCAGCTTCGTGCTTCGAGCAGCAATGTGTGGTCTTAGCTGTTTCTTCCTTTTAACTGCCAGTGGGGGTATGAACTGATTGGGTGGGAGCTTGGCTGTGTTCTGATTGGGTGGAGGTGTGTTCTGATTGGTTAGGGGCTTGGCTGTGCTCTGATTGGCTGGGGGGTTGGCTGTGCTCTGATTGGCTGGGGGAGTGTTCTGTTTGGTTGTGCTCAGGTTAGTCTGAGTTGCAGAGGGGTTTAAGATTTTGGGCTGCCTTGCTATTTTTTGGCTTCGCGTTCGTGGTCATGCCTCCTCTTCATGGAGGGTGTCAGTTTGCTTCATGTATGGATTGGAGGGGTTTAAAGTGGCTAATAATGAAAGAAAAAGTGGACAACTTCCTCACACACCTCAACAGCCTACACCCCAAAATACAGTTCACCATGGAAACAGAAGCTAACAACCAACTTCCCTTCCTGGATGTCTTAGTCTACAAGAAATCCAATGGCTCCCTAGGACACACCATCTACCAGAAGAAAACACACACAAACCGCTATCTGCACGCTCTCTCACACCACCACCCAGCACAGATCAACTCTGTAGCCAAGACACTCATCTCCAGAACAAAACGCTTAGCTGACGAACAACACCTAAAACCCGAACTACACACTCTCACCAATGTACTAACATCCAATGGATTCCATAGAAATAAGATTACAAACCTAATCCAAAAAGAAACCCCCACTAAAATCCAAGACAAAGAACAAGAAAACGGCAAAGCCCTCCTCCCATACATAAAAGGCACCACAGACAGAATCAGTAAGATCCTCCATAAACACAACATCAAAACAGCATTCTGCACAAACAGAAAAATATCCACCATCCTTAGAAACCCCAAAGATAAAATTGAATTAGAAAATCAAGGAGTATACGAAATCCCATGCACCACTTGTCCCACCACATACATCGGACAAACCAACAGAAGAATAAGTGCACGCATTGAAGAACATAAGAACTCAGTCAAAAAAGAGGAACCAACATCTTCCCTGGTCCAACACCTTAAAGCCACAGGACATGAAATTGACTTTAAAAATACCAGAACCATTGCCAAAAGTGAACATTTTAATAACAGAATAATCAGAGAAGCCATTGAGATAGAAAAACGCCCACACAGCATGAACAAGCGAGATGATACCTCCCGCCTACCAGCCATTTGGAAACCCGCCCTTATTGACAAACGACTCCCTAACACAAAAAATGATACCAGACCCACACTCACAAAAACCACACAGGATGTCACCACCACACATCCACGCAAAAAACAAACCCAAAGCCACACTGACTATGAGGCACGACCACAAACCAGAAGCCAGACCACAGCTGCATCATTAGCCACTTTAAACCCCCCCAATCCATACATGAAGCAAACTGACACCCTCCATGAAGAGGAGGCACGACCACGAACACGAAGCCAAAAAATAGCAAGGCAGCCCAAAATCTTAAACCCCTCTGCAACTCAGACTAACCTGAGCACAACCAAACAGAACACTCCCCCAGCCAATCCCAGCCAATCAGAGCACAGCCAAGCCCCTAACCAATCAGAACACACCTCCACCCAATCAGAACACAGCCAAGCTCCCACCCAATCAGTTCATACCCCCACTGGCAGTTAAAAGGAAGAAACAGCTAAGACCACACATTGCTGCTCGAAGCACGAAGCTGAAAACACCAGCCTGAAGATGACGAATGGGACTTCGTCGAAACGTCGCCAAGACACTTCCAATTTTACGCGGGAGAAAACCCGAACAACCAAAGACATATATATATATATATATATATATATATATATATATATATATATATATATATATATATATATATATATATATATGATGAGAAAAATAGTCGAACACTGGGATAAATAAAAACAACTGTTTAATAAACTAACAACTAAACAGTTGTTTTTATTTATCCCAGTGTTCGACTACTTCTCTCAACATGAATATACCTGGGATTCACATTTTGGATTTGTTATTCCTTCATTTCTGCCAGACTGTTTTTGGGACATCTTCATTATCTTTGCATTAATATCATTACTGTCAATTCACATGCATTTTTTCCTTCCTATTTCTTTGATGAAATGCTTTTTATTGCTTTTCGTTAACACAGTGACAGCAACAGAATTGATTTCTTAGTAATCAGCATTGCCTTCCTAAAATATTCCATTTCTTTCATAAAATTCTGAAGGGCAAGATTCTGGCTTCATCGCAGTTTGCTACTGACTTTCAAAATACTCCAGAATTATGTACCTTTGAGAACAATCAGAATCAGAGTACGATGAATGGTTGTAAGAACTGGGTATGTCTAGTCTAGCAAAGAGAAGAATTAAGGCTGACATGATAGCAGTCTTCCAATATTTGAGGTGCTGCCACAGAGAAGAGGGGGGTCAACCTATTTTCCAAAGCACCTGAGTGCAGGACAAGAAGTAAAGGATGGAACATATTAAGGAGAGATCCAAGATAAAATTAAGCAGGAATCTCCTGTCACTCAGAACAATTAATCAGTGGAACGTCTTACTTCCATAAGTTGTGGGTGCTCCATCACTGGTTTTTTTTAAGAAGAGCTTCATCTGCCATTTGTCCAGAATGGAATAGAGTCTCCTGCTTGATCAGGGGTTGGACTAGAAGACCTCCAATATCCCTTCCAGGTCTGTCATTCTGTAATTTGATAAACGTACCTTGGTTTTGGGGGAACAAAACTATTCCAAACACAGAGAACTACAACTGAAAGGTGTTGTTTCAAGTTTCTGTTCCCTCAGCTTAGAAGAATTAGGAACTATAACATCCTCTCCTTAAAGAACATACATTCGGCAGACTAATGGCCATGAAGGATACAAAAAGGAATACATCTTCAGAATAGAATATCTTCATTGTCATTGTGTAACTCACAACAAAATTAAGTATATATTTCCTTGAAATATAAAGGCAGAAGCAATCGATATATATGGAAGATAGCAATAGGAAAGCAGAATAGGTTAACTTTTTTTTTTTTGTCCTCTATGTGCTGCCCTCTGGCTTCTAAAAATAGAGATCTGCAAATTTGGTCTGTGTCTTTTGTGAGTCAGTGGATTCTTTCATTTCAAAATATTAAGGAAAGCTGAAGAGATTCAGCTTCAAAGGAAGTAATTAATTATCAGTTCAGGTGAAGCAAAGGATCTGGAGCAGTGTTTCTCAATCTTGACAGTTTTAAGGCATGTGGACTTCAACTCCCAGAATTCCACAGCCAGCATTGCTGGCTGTGGAATTCTGGGAGTTGAAGTCCACATGCCTTAAAATTGTCAAGGTTGAGAAACACTGATCTGGCGAGACCCCCAACTTTGGGAAATTCTCTCCCCAACCCCATTCTCTTTTTGCAGACAGATACCTTTGCAGACTTCGATACCATGACGGATCGCTTGCTGGATGAAATAATTCAACATATTCAGCTATACAACTTGTCGATATCACGTATCAGGTAAAAGGGCAAGAAGAAGCAATGGGCTATGGGGGCCACATACTGTAGGGATCCTTTCCTGATGTGAGAGACTGTGGAGAAATTGGGGAAAAAAATTAAAAGGCAGGAGGGAGAGTCATTTCACCCTTTGTCTTGTGAATGGAAAATTAGTTCAGGTGGAGAGAAATACAGGAAAAGGCACCTTAAGAATCTGAAGATGTCTTAACAAACTTAGCATAATTTGGGACATTCCTATTGTAGTTACCAAGATTATGTATTTATTCCATATAAGTACTGAAGAGTGATGATTTTGTTTGAGTTTTGGCCTCAAGTCAGCCTTATCCCAAAGGCGCTTTTTCCAAAAGCCAACTGGACTTTCTTGTTTTTTGTTTTTCTTTGAAAATGTTTCACTGAAGGACTAAATAAGCTTTTGGATGAGAAGCAAAATATTTTCAAATAAAAAGAAAGAAAGTCCAATTGCCTTTTGGAAAAAGTACCCTTTGAGTCAACCATGAACTGAATGGTTGAGAATCTCCATAAACATCAGGTCAGCCTTGATTCCTGGCTACTGAAGTTTTCTTGGCAACATTTTTAAAGTGGTTTGCCACTGCCTTGTCACCAGCCTAAAATCTCCCAAAAGTCTTCATGCTTAAGGCCACGGTGGAAATTGTGGTCTTCCCCTTTCTAGCCTGCTGCTGTAGAGGACTGTAATGCTGGGACAGGTGGAAGAAGAAGGCCAGCTTGAAGAGGGATGAACTCAGCCATAATGGTGATGGGTGTGCCATTGAAGAACATGAAGGATCACGTTAGGGACAGATTGTTATGGAGAAAAGTCTTTTCATGTGGTCACTAAGAGTTTGATACTAACTTGATGGTGCATCATCAATGTGTGTGTGTGTGTTTGTGTGTAGAGATAGATAGAGATAGAGATAGATAGAGATAGAGATAGATAGATAGACAGACAGACAGACAGACAGACAGACAGATAGATAGATAGATAGATAGATAGATAGATAAAATGATAAAGATAGATAGATAGTGATAGAGATAGAGAAATAGAGATAGCTAGATAGAGATAGAGATAGATAGAGATAGATAGATAGATAGATAGATAGATAGATAGATAGATAGATAGATGATAAAGATAGATAGAGATAGATAGTGATAGAGATAGAGAAATAGATAGAGAAGATAGAGAGAGAGAGAGATAGTGATAGATATATAGAGCTATAGATAGATAGATAGATAGATAGATAGATATGATAGATAGATAGATAGATAGATAGATAGATAGAGAAATAGAGATAGAGATTATAGAGAGAGATAGTGATAGATATAGAGAGTGATAGAGGGAGAGAGAGAGAGATGATAAAGATTGATAGATCGATAAATAAATAGAGAGTGATAGAGATAGAAAAATAGAGATAGAGATGAGAGAGAGATAGTGATAGATATATAGACCTATAGATAGATAGATAGATAGATAGATAGATAGATAGATAGATAGAGAAAGAGATGATAAAGATTGATAAATCAAGAGATCGATAGATCGATCGAAAGATAGAGAGAGAGAGAAAGAGATGATAGATAGATAGATAGATAGATAGAGATAGAGAAATAGAGATAGAGATGATAGAGAGAGATAGTGATAGATATATATAGAGAGAGAGAGATAGATAGATAGATAGATAGATAGATAGATAGATAGAGATAGAGAAATAGAGATAGAGATGATAGAGAGAGATAGTGATAGATATATATATAGAGAGAGAGATAGATAGATAGATAGATAGATAGAGAGAGAGAGAGAGAGATGATAAAGATTGATAGATCGATAGATCGATAGATAAATAGAGAGTGATAGAGATAGAGAAATAGAGATAGATGATAGAGAGATAGTGATAGATATATAGAGCTATAGATAGATAAAGAGAGAGAGAGATGATAAAGATTGATAAATAGATAGATAGATAGATAGATAGATAGATAGATAGGGGAGTAGAAAATGTTTAAGCCATGCCAAAAAAAATGTACAAGTTGTATTGTTTGCATTTCTGTAGCTTCATCGGTCACTCACTCGGTAATGTGATCATCCGATCAGTATTGACCCGGCCCAGGTTTCGTTATTACCTCAATAAGCTACACACCTTCCTGTCCCTCTCTGGACCTCACCTGGGAACATTGTATAACAACAGTACTTTGGTTAGTACAGGTAAGAGTTCCTGAAATCATCCATGTGGATAGAACAATGGATGTGGATAGGATAAAGGGAATAATATATGATAATATATGTCATAGACAATAAGATGTCAAATTCTCGGACATCTCTCTTAATTGAATGTAGTTCTTTTCCAAGCATGATTTTCAAAGAGCGAAGATCGATTGAGAAGAAAGACCAGAATTTCAGCATATGCATCCCTCATTAGGATAGATGCAGAGTTCTTGGCAGGTGAAATGGGTATGTAGGTCCATGGAATGGGAGCTAACACCCCCTGGGCTATCAGTCAGCAAAGGATTGTTGTTGTTGTTAATTGCGAAGTCGTGTCCGACCCATCGCAACCCCATGGACAACATTCCTCCAGGTCTTCCTGTCCTCTACCATCTTCTGGAGTCCATTTAAGTTCACACCTACTGCTTCAGTGACTCCATCCAGCCATCTCATTCTCTGTCGTCCCCTTCTTCTAATGCCCTCCATCTTTCCCAGCATTAGGCCCATCTCCAGTGAGTCCTTCCTTCTCATTAGGTGGCCAAAGTACTTGAGTTTCAACTTCAGGATCTGGCCTTCTAAAGAGCAGTCGGGGTTGATCTCTTCTAGGACTGACCGGTTTGAATGCCTTGCAGTCCAAGGGACTCGCAGGAGTCTTCTTCAGCACCATAGTTCAAAGGCTTCAATTCTTTGGCGCTCAGCCTTTCTTATGGTCCAACTTTCACAGCCATACATTGCAACTGGGAAAACCATGGCCTTGACTATACGCACTTTTGTTGGCAGGGTGATGTCTCTGCTTTTTAGAATGCTGTCTAGATTTGCCATAGCTTTCCTCCCCAGGAGCAAGCGATATCAAACTGTAAATAATTAGAGAAAGATTACTGGGTGGGTAGGAAGCAGAGGTTCAGCCCCTTATGAAATGCAAATAACAAAATCCCCCTCTTCATAAATGTGATCCGTAAAAGAAATGTTTAAAAAAACCTAATCTCTCCACACTAATTGATCTGATGGCTGTTTTTGCAGATCAACTCTCTTTATATTTTTTCCCCCTAGGTTTGTGGTTGATGCAAAAACTGAAGAAATCTGACTCCCTTTTGCAGCTGACTTTCAGGGACAATGCCGATCTGCGGAAGTGTTTCCTTTACCAGCTTAGCCAAAAAACAGGTGGGTTTTTCTGAACAGGTGAGAGGGTGCCATGCCTGACCCATTATGACACAATGCAATGGGAAGTATTTAACCTCAATTTTATTCATGTCATTCAAGGTACGGTTTAATTCCTCAACTTTCTAATCTGAAGAGGTCTGCCATGAATCAAACTCTCTCTCCCTCTCTGTCTCTCTCTCTGTCTCTCTCTCTGTCTCTCTCTCTCTGTCTCTCTCTCTCTGTCTCTCTCTTTGCCTCTCTCTCTGTCTCTGTCTCTCTCTCTTTTTTTTTTTTGCAGGTCTTCAGTATTTCAAAAATGTAGTCCTTGTTGCCTCTCCCCAGGACCGCTATGTCCCATTTCATTCTGCAAGAATAGAAATGTGTAAATCTGCCTTGAAAGACAGACATACAGGTGAGAGTCCCTCTAAGTCGAGTTATCCACTGCATTCATTTCCAATTTCTAAGACTATTTTATCTCCCGAAAATAAGATGGAGTGACAACATCAGCAAGGATGGCGGGCCCAACTGGCCAAGGAAAGCTCAAGACAGTCTTGGTTGGAAATGTGCAGAAGAGGCCTTCATTCTGCAGTGGATAGACAATGGCTAGAATGATGATGGTTATCATTGATCATGATGATTGTGATCATGCTTTTATCTTAACTGGTCTATTGGCAAATACTTAGTCCTTCACTTATAACTGTAATTAAGACTGAAAATTATGAGAATACATGGTGATGTTTGTAATGTAGGAGACCAAACTGATTTTAGAACATTTTTTTTGCAGCAGTCATTAAGTGACCGGTGCAGTCATAAAATTACTGTTTCAGTCATTAAGTGAACATCACAATCATTAAGGGAATCCATTGTCTGCTACGGGGCATTTTTGCTGGAAACTGGAAGTGCATGCCATTTCCCCCCCCCCAAAAAAAGTTTTAGATTGCAGTCATGTGACCGTAGGATGATGCAAACAGGCATAATTATGTACTGGTTGCCAAGGACCCCAAATGTGGTCAGATGTCCATAGGGGGAGCCCAGCAATTGAAACTTCAGAACCAAATCAAAGCTACCTTTTGGAAGTTTTCAAAAATAGACAACAACCATTTGACCGGGATGGTGTAAGGCAGGGGTCTTCAGACTTGGCTCTTTTATGACTTGTGGACTTCAACTCCCAGAATTCCTCAGCCAGCCTCCATTTTGTTTGTTAGATTTAAGGCAGGGGTCTTCAAACTTGGCTTTTTTATGACTTGTGGACTTCAACTCCCAGAATTCCTCAGCCAGGCATGCTAGCTGAGTAATTCTGGGAGTTGAAGTCCACAAATCATAAAAGGGCCAAGTTTGAAGACCCCTGGTTTAAAGTCTTCTACCATGAGCAGGAGGGTGGACTAGAAGACCTCCTAGATCCCTTTCAATCCTATGAGTCTATATTCTAAGATATTGCGCAACAAATGATGATGATATTTGTTTTGTTTTTCAATTTTCCAAGGTCCCGTTTATGCTGAGATGATCAACAACCTCCTCCAGCCTGTCGTGGGAGCTAAGGACTGCACTTTAATCCGTCACAATGTATTTCATGCCTTGCCAAACACCGCTAATACGCTGATTGGGCGAGCTGCACATATAGCCGTGCTGGATTCTGAACTGTTCTTGGAAAAATTCTTTCTCGTGGCAGGACTCAACTATTTTAAATAGGACCAGGAGCATTAGGGAAGCACCGGACTCTTTGCAGAAAACGGCAACCGTTTCTGAATCAAGGGAGTGCTATATTACCAGGAAAAAAAAATGGCATAGGCTAATGGTGACATAGCATGCACATACTCGTACCCTATTTATTTGGGGGAAAGAATCAAATGCTTCAGTTATTAAGCATTCAAAGGGCCAACTCTTGGTGCTTTTGAGAAGATGGAAACATCTCCACATTAAGTTTCTTTGTCCTTTCTCTCTTTGGTCATCTACCTTGAATAATTGGTCTTCAAATGCTGAGAGTCAGATTCCAGATCTGCCTTTTTTGTATCTGTGATCGGATCAGTAATTTTTTTTTTCTTTTCTTGCTTCCTTCATTGGAAAATCCTTCTAGCACTAAGCCGTCTTAGTCAAGCTAATGTTGATTTGTTGAATAGGTTTGCCATTTCATTTTGTGGGTTAGCGCACGCAGGTAGAAACAACCACGGAGCTTTGGTAAAATGAGAACTCAATAAAATCTAGTTGTACAACATTGTTGTATAACATGGTACAGGCATATGATTACTTGATCATGTCTTGAATTTTAAGAGTAAGGGGCCAAGAAAGAACAGAACAGCAGAGTTGGAAGAATCCTTAGAGGTCTTTTAGTTCTCCTCTACTCAGGCAGGAAACCCTATACCATTTGAAACAAATGTTGACCAATCTCTTCTTAAAAACCTCCAGTGTTGGAGCACCAACAACTTCTGGAGACAAGTCATTCCACTGATTAATTGTTCTCACTGTCAGAAAAATTGTCTTTAGTTCTAGATTGGTCCTCTCCTTGATAAGTTTTTAGCCATTGTTTCTGCCTTCAGGTGCTTTGGAGAATAGCTTGACTCCCACTTCTTTGTGGCAGCCCCTTAAATATTGGAATGCTGCTATCATGTCACCCCTCATCCTTCTTTTCATTAGACTAGGCAAAGTTTGAAGGTACACAGATTCAAGCAAACTAATCAAATACTGCAGAGTGTCCACTAACATTGTAGGCTGACAAATTTTATCTGAGAATTTAAAGAATGAAGAAGATGTAGCCTCTATTACCTGAATGGCAGGAACAAATCTTGGATGATATAAAAATTGTGTCCTCAGAGACAAAGGCCTCTCTTATGCCTTGAGCTATTGTAGAAAAGACAGTCACAGTAGAGCAGGGGTATCAAACTGCCAGCCCGCAGGCCAGATGCGTCATGGCAAAATCGTGTCCACCCCATTGCCGGCAATGGAAAAAAAAAGTCACATTACGTCGCAACACATCACATGACATTGCGAGTTTGACAGCCCTGCAGTAGATGGTGGGACCTAGTTAATTGTGGAACTGGACAAAAGACTAAGCAAAGTGAGGGCTGATTAATATCTCAGTGATAAACCCATCAGAAAATCCAGGAGCTGGAAAATAAATATATATTCTGGAAGAAGGTGATGTGAAACCACATCCATAATGTTGCAAGGAAAATCACACAGATTTGTCTGCATTGTCGCTGTGAGTTGAGCTTAATTTAAGATAGCCTTTTTTTTCCTTTTAGAAAAGAACGATTGTATGTTTAAGTAAGCCGTGAAGATAAAGATTGCATATAATATTTAGATGGCTTGATTATGGCAGCTACTCTTTATGGCTGTGTTCACACAACTCAATCTAGCTGCCGAATGAACCTATTTATGTAGTGCACGGAATCATACAATGAACCATAGATTAACCAAATAGGGCAGACTTTTGCACGGCCTATTAAGACACAAAAAGAATGTTAACCAGACTTAGCACTAAATGTGGCATCTTATGCCAATTCAGCTGCTATATTTACAATTGAGCTGAACTCAGTCATAAAGACCAACAGATTTTTTTTTCTTTTAAGTCTAGCACATCCATGAAAACTTTAATCTTATTTAAGACATGGAACTCAAGGTGTAGTTTGTTAACTGCTGTGTTTGACATACTGGCTATTTCTCCTGTCTTCTGTCTCAGCAAGACCAATTCTCACAACCTTATCATCTTGGACCATAAAATGAGCCATTTTATGGTATCTATAGAGGTCTTTTTCCATCCTAAAACACATACAGTATATTCTGATAGCTCAGTGACAAAGGTCGCATTTTTCAAATAGAAGGTATTTATTTATTTATTGTACAGCCTCCATTTCACTCACTAGTTCAAAGCCAGGCAGTGACCATACAATCTAGTATGTGATGGGGGACACCTTTGAGATGTTGACAATCCTCTCGGGCAAAATTGTTGCTAGTAGCAGGGGAATAGAAGTAGTCAAGACTAATAAAGAGAGTCAGAAAAACTAAGGAAGAAGGAGAAGGCTGGGGTAGTCGCTAGGCTGAACAAAACAGTTGCTAAAAGATTGATGTGTCAAGGTTTTCAGACTTATTTTCCTTTAAAAAAAGTAATTTCGGGGGGGGGGGAAACCTAGTGAATCACTGAAAACATTTTGCTTTTGTAGTGATGGTTCAGGACACGTTCATGACTCTTCATGACTCTGAAGATATAAAGATATCTTTTCTTTTCTTTTTTGCTACATCTGCCATTGCTTTATCAAGACCCAGTCATCAGAAATGTAAATGGGAAGAGATGAGGACAAAAGGTAACAGGTGAAAGGGGCACAATGGCTCAGTGGTTAAAGACACTGAGCTTTATCAGCTGGAAAGCTGACAGTCTGGGTTTGAGATCCGAGCATGTATGACAAGGTGAGCTCCTGTTACTTGTGTCAGCGTCTTTCAACCTAGCAGATTGAAAGCATGCAAGTAGATAAATAGGTACCACTTTTGGCAGGAAGGTAACAGTGTTTCATGTCTTTTGGCTTATAGTCATGCTGGCCACTTGACCACAGAAATTCTTTGGGTGACACTAGCTCCCTTGGCTAAGAAACAGAGATAAGTCCCGCACCTAGAGTCGGACACAACTAGATAGGGAAAATTTTTACCTTTAAATGAGAAGAGATGAGGAGAACGTATGTGCCTAGTTTTAGGCAGTGATGGAATTCAAATACCTGAACAACTGGTTCTCTTATTCGATGCAGGCCTGGCCCTCTGAGGTCTAGAATGGATTTCCAGAAGTGTCATCCACGCACTTCTGGTGGGCCATTCTAGTCCTGGGAGGCCCCCCCTCCAGGCCTCCAAGACCTAGAACGAACTTCTGGAAGTGGTGTCCATGCACTTCCGGCATGCCATTGTAGGCCTGGGAGGCCTCCTCCAAGCCTCTGAGGCCTAGACTGGACTTCTGGAAGCCAGCTGGTTCTCCGAATGCAGCAAAATTTAGCTACCAGTTCTACTGAACCGGTGCGAACTGGCTGAATCCCACCACTGGTTTTAGGTCATCTCGCTGCTCAAATGAAGGGTCAATGAAGGGCTTTTGAAGGGTTCTTGTTTTTCTCAAACTGAGACTCTCTGTTCAATTAGATGTAAGATCAGCAGCTTAATTGTAGAAAGGAAGTGTTATCCCACCAGTAATTACTGATCTCTTGGCTTAATCAGAGTATTATATTTGCAAAACCTAGTGAAACTGAGGACACAAATAGTGAAGGGAGAGCCAATCATGTAAATCAATTGGCCTGTACAGAATAATTGATCTCTGTTGGAGATGACTAAGCTGAGCCTGAAGGAGGGGTCAAACGTGTCATCAGTCAGGAGTCCCTGTGTGCCCACAAGAGATCTAAGCCCAGCCCACCTTGAATGACTTTCTTATCTCCCGCTCATTTCCCTTGACCGTTAGTGGCTGAGATTCTTGTAGAGAGTTTAAGCTTACAATAAATCTTTATACTCATTGAACTTTATACTCATTGAACTGGTACTAGACAGTCCCCATGAATACTTCAGTTCTCTGCACTACCCTCCTCTAGAGACAAATACGCTGGACCCAGGGATGAGCAACTGTGTGCTGATGTTACAATACAACGTTGCAAAAAAAAGGAGAAACTCTCATCTCAGTTACAGGTAGTCCTTGACTTACAATCATTGGTTTAATGACCTTTTGGAAAAAAAATGAATGAGGACTAGTTTCCAAACTTATGATATTTGCAGCATAGTCACCTGATCAAAATTCAGACGGTTGGCAACTGGCTCATATTTATGACATGTCGCAGTGGTCCTGGGCTCATGTGATCCCTTTAAGCGACCTTCTGGCAAGCAAAATCAATGGGGGAAGCCAGATTCACTTAACCACCATATTAGTAGCTTAACAACTGCAGTGACTGACTCAACAACCATGAGAAGAAAGGTCGTAAAATGGGGCAAAACTCACTTAGCAAATGCCTCACTTAACAACAAAATATTTGAGCTCAATTGTAGTCCTCAGTTGAGGACTACCCGTATTTAGTCCTTTTCGCCGAATGTGATTACTCTCTTGACCTCATAGTCTAATAGAATAGAGAAAACCAGTGATCTTGTAGTTAGCCTCTGTTCTCATCTACTGAAGTTTGCTTCTGGCTGTTTGTGATACCTGCTCATATTCTGTTGCCCTATTAACTACTTATGTCTGTGTCATGCACAGTGCATTCCTCAGTTCTACACAGAGTTATTCAGAGCTTCATTGGCATATTGAAGACCCACAGATTGGGAGAGCACAGCTTTGATAGATTCTGAAGTTTATCTTTTCAGTGCGTGATGTGGGACAGTGGAACACATCTTCGTGTGTGTGTGTGTGTGTGTGTGTGTGTGTATTAGACTTATGTTCCTAAACTATTAGTCCAAAAATGTGTGACAGTCCACAAAATATGCTAAATCATAATCAAACTAACACACCTTGCATAGTGCTGTGTTAATATCTTCAAGTCTTTAAGAAGATATCAGATTGTGTATTTATACTTACTCAGTATTTACTGGTCCCATTATTCTGACTGTAGATCACAGATAATTCTCTGAAACATATGTCAACTATCTACGAACATCAGCAAAAGCTAGTATTTGCAAAAAGTTTCTTATTGATCCTCAATGGATTTTCTGCCAAATCCAGACATTCCCTCTGGGTCATTTGCAGGTCTCTCTTCTTTCTTAAGAACTGATGTGGATTCCACCTTCACAAATGCTACCACAATTGTGTTAAATTTATAGGCAATAAATAATCTGGTCTGCTGAAAAATTTCAGCTAACAGATTTTGTTTCTTTCCCTCTATTTTTTTAAAAAAACTGGGATGCTTTCTTTGTAAAGACTATTCTATAATCCTGTCTTACATGAACAAACACTATTTACACTAATCTACTTGTACAAAAACCTTACAAGATACCTGCCTTGTACAGATTAAAAAAAAAAAAAAACTTCTAAAACTGTTGGAACACTACTAGGACATTATATGGCCTCCTTTGAAAAGGCTTTTAAGATGCCTCTTTCTGTGTAAATATGACCTTGTTAATTTCTGTTCAGCTCAAACAATGGGGGAACATTTATCTATGTCCTTGAATGTCTTCATCAACATCTGATTTCTCTGATCTTATTTTCTCTCTTTCTTTATTTTTCTTTCTTTCTTTCTTCTTCCTTCCTTCCTTCCTTCCTTCTTCCTTCCTTTCTGTCTTCTTTCTTTTTCTTTCTTTCTTTCTCTCTCTCTCTCTCTCTTTCTTTCTTTCTTTCTTTCTTTCTTTCTTTCTTTTTTCCTTCCTTCCTTCCTGCCTTCCTACCTGCCTTCCTCTTTCTTTCTTTCTTTCTTTCTTTCTTTCTTTCTTTCTTTCTTTCTTTCTTTTTTCCTTC